ATAACCATTAACATTTCTATCAGCATGTTATTGCTATTAGTCTATTTTTATATATATATATATATATATATATATATACACACACACACACACACACACACACACACATTTATTTTGGGAATATATTTACATTTTAAGTAAAAGAGCAACATATCAGTTTCTAAACAGTCATGGAACTGTGATGGTGATGTACTTGTATGGATTTTTACAGATCATAATTACAGGTTATAGGTCACTGAAAGAATATATCTTTGAAAAAATTTATCATGGATTCTGAAGATCAGTGGATAAAAAGTAATTGTTCAACTTATGATTTAATATGTTGTTCATTGTTAAAGTTTACTTTGAAATATAGTATTGAGAAATTTTTGCCCCTTGCTTAATTGACACTTTTTGAGAAAGTAAATTGTTAATGAGATTATTACACCATTTAAACCACAATTATTCATTATTCCTAAAACAAAGATTCGACCATATTTGTTCAAGCCATCATATATATTTATATACTATATTTAAAAACTCATTCCAAAGACGTGTAGTACATGTAAGTTTTTAATTAATGTTCTGTTTAAATTAAAGAGTGCCAATATATATATATATATATATACAATTTTTCAAATAAACTTTATTACATCAAAAGCGTACAGTTGATCACTCAGCACTGTATAGCTCTGACGAAATTATAATATAACATACAATTTATTTATTGTACATGTAGATGTACGTGCCAACAAGTAAGTGAACATGCCAACAAAGTTTCAATATAACAATGTAAAATTATACCATTTGTACAAAAGTTATCATTTTAAAGTGAAAATGTCTGCAGTTATAGCTCCCAAAATCATTGGGGATATTCCGTCTGTCAGACATAATCAAAACAACAGATGCAGAGCTAGTCAGCATGTAACTGAAAAAAAGGGGATTAGGATCTGGGTGCTAGAACCCACAACGTCCCAGATCCCACTATTACTTATTGTCTATAGCCGGTTGTGGGTATGATAATTATCCCTAAAAAAAACACCATAAAAATATAAATAATATATTAAACCATAGTTTCTAGTTGCCAAAACATTTAAAAAGTCACTTGGTTATTTTCTTCATTTTCAGTTGTAAACTTAATGTTATGAGTTGTTTCATTATTGCAAAACTTCTTTTAACATAATGAGTGACTCTGTACTGCAAACATAACATCCACATATTTTAACCATATTTTTGGGTTAAGTGACATTTTGGAAAGAACTGTGTTTTCAAAATATTCCATGAAATTGTTGCGGAATATTGGGAGAGGGTAATCACATACGTAACCTTTGAATTCTGATATGGTCTTATCTCGCCTTGCACAAAGCTATCTCAATCTTCTTTCTGTCCCCCAAGCATTGCTGAAACATTTTAACATTCAGCACACCAGTCTATATAACCCACAAATTTCATGCCACTTTTGAACAGGTATATAACATGTGACCACCTTCCACCTATATTGGCACAGTGAGCTGCCTCTGATTCTCCTGCTCAATCGTCACTTTCTCGATTGGCACAGCATTGTTTAGACTTGTGTTTTTTTGCATGTGACTACCTTGTATGATTGTACTTCATTGACATTTCAATATCTTTTTCAACAGTTTTCTCTACTGTGTTTCCATTCAATTGTTGCAATTTTTTTTGCATTTGCTTATAGTTACCAAATTATATGCCAACTTAGAATTACTTTGCAATTCAGTATATCAACAACGAAATTTCTCATTATGCTGGACAATGCTTCTGGTACAACTATCCAGGCATCAAGTTAGACTTTATCTGCTGAAGAGGTACAAGCCTTAATTTGCAGGGAGCTAGATTCATATGTTTGGCTGGTAACTCCTACTCATTTTCAACCTGATGATGTTTCTAAAGATGAATACAATCAAGGAGAAGAAAATGGATTCACTTTTTCGACCATCTACTTATTTTGGTCTGTCACACTCTACACCTTTACAGGATATCTCACCTTCCACACACTTGGTTGGAAATTTTATCCACTATTTTACTTTCCACAGAAATACATTTCAAAATTTAACTATGATATCATTTAGAATGAGATCAGTTATTATGTTTCCTGAGTAGTTACACTGAACTGGATGTAAGAGAGTCTGGAAATAATTAAACACAGAGGTATTTGTTTAAATAAAGATGAAGGTCCAGGAATTTCAGTCCTCCAGTTGTACTTGGATTAACATTGTACAAAGGAGCTGCATATTTATATGTGTATATTTATTAATAATATATTTTGTACATTGTTTTATATTTATGTTGAGTGTTTACTTCACACATCCATACATATATATAATATAGTGTGTGTATGTATGTATGTGTGTGTGTGTGTGTATGTACTTAGTGGTGTTGTTTCATTTAAACAGAATGTTAATTTAGAATTGACATGTACCTTGTGTCATTAGAATGTGTTTTTTAAACACAGTATATATATACTGTTGTCTCATCTATTTTTTATTCTGCCCGATGATGGCCTGAACAAATGTGGTCAAAACATGTAGCAAAATATCTTTGAATTTGCAATAAGAGATAATTCTGGTTTAAATGGCATATTACTTTTATTAATTAAATATTGCAAGATATATGAATTAACTAATTAAGTTAATCTTTGATGTGTCTATGAAGAGCACGTAAAGAAATTGCTTAATTCTGGTTTCCTGTACCATGAGCGAGTGAAAATATTGACACTTGTTGCAATGCCAGTCTATTGCAGGTTATCTTCCAGCAATCCATTGTTACCCACTATAGAGCTGGGTAGACAAAAGCAGTTAAGATACAGTGCATTTTTCAAGGACACAACAACATATTCCAGGCAATCTTCAAATCTGTAACATTTCAACTACAAAGAGCTGACCACTAACCCATGCTGCCCCTACTGTGACTTTATACAATATCAAAAATAATGTGTTTGTGCCCTCTCTCTAGACAAGTCATAGTACATTATTAGAATATGTTTGAGTTAAAAAATTGGCAATTGGTCAAATTTGCTAATAGCTTAATCAATTATATTCAGCTTTCAACGAATTTATTATTCTCACAAGATGACTATAAAACAAAAAGAAAATATTTATTTTTCTCGCAAGTTGCCTAAGACAACCCAACATATAATGCTAAAAATCATGTATCAATACCCATGGTGGGCAGGGCACAGAGAGTTAATTATGTAGTTTTGTGCTTAACAAAAAACAAATATAGTGTCAGTATTTTGATTACTTGAGTAGCTGAAATAATCAACAATAATTGGAAACCTTAATTTTGATTAGTTTATTATTTTTGTGAGTTGTGGCACCTAATTGATAAGTTGAGTAAACTTGGCTTAATCAAAAATAATAGTGAAAAATCATAATGGCAATGTTTTGATTACTGGATAGTTAGAATAATCAAAAACATTAATAAATGGAAACACTAGTTGTTGATTTTTGGGATGTTAGTTTATTTAATTGTAATTTGGATTAATCAGTTATTTGGGATGTTAGTTTATTTAATTGTAATTTAGATTAATCAGTGCAAGTTAATTGCCCATGTTTAGTTAGTGTACAGTGTGTGAATAGTGTAGGACTGTTAACTAATATGAAGCTGAGAAGCCAACTAAACATACTAAAACTATCTTAAAAAAAAGTCAAACTTTGATATGTTTTACTAAGTTTAGAGCTAATATAAGTGCAAGTAATCTTTGAACAGGTTGTTTATTTCATTTTTTGTCAGTGTAACAACAGAATTACTTAATGAGTTTTATACGTATAACAGCTGTAATTTTTCAGTTGTACTTTAATTTCCAGTATTATTACATGTATTTCCTTACACAGAAGCCAACATAGCAATTTTTTAACTTAAAAAAACATGACTAAAGAGATTCATGAATATGATTTTTAATTTTCAAAAATAACTTTTAATACAAAAGCTGTTAACTTGATAATTTTACTTATTTTAATTGCAAATCATTTTCTTACAAATGTCTTGGGCCACCATTCCCATAATTCAATCTGTAGCATATCTAAACTTAAATGTAGATGGTTAGCTGAGAATATTATTAGAGCTCATGAAAATAGTTAAACAATGTACAGTTAAATGTAGTACAGATTATAATCACTTGAATTATCTGGTCAATTTTGAGAGAGGTTTTTTTTTCATTTTTCTTTTGTAGAGGAGAAGGGCATGGAAAGTCAGGGATGTTTCCAGCTTCGTTTGCTATAAAGCTGGAAGAAACAGATAGTGAAGAGAAAATATCACCTATAGAAAAATATGCTAGAAATGATGGAAAACCCCTGGAGATTTTAGAGCCTGAAATAAATGATACTAAATCCTTTTCAGCTTGGTTCACTAAATCTTTAAATGAAAATATTTATTATGACTTAGATTCTTCATCTGAATCAAAACACGTTGGATACCATAACAAGAACAGCGGAATAACACCTTATGGTAAAACACAGTTTCCCTTTACAGCGCAGTATCCAAATGAGTTGTCGTTTGACTGTGGTGTGTTACTGAAATTGATAAGGCATGTGGATGATGAATGGATGGAGGGAGAAATTGATGGAAAAATTGGACTTTTTCCTACCAAATATGTGGACATTGTTGTTGACTGTAATGACTCTGAAAATGTCTGTTTTGATAACTCAGATCTAGAAAATCAACTTTACAAAAGGGGAAAGGTTCTGTATGATTTCATGGCACAAGTGGAGGGTGACCTAAACTTGAAAGAAGGGGAAATGATAACAATTCTCAAACAGTTGAATCCACATTGGTACCAAGCTAAGAAAGATGATGGTAATGTGGGAATCTGTCCTTCTAACTTTGTTAGAATTACTGCAAATGATGGTTTCCCTTGTGAAAGTAAGAGTGATGATGTGTTTCCCCAGGAATCATTACTGACAAGTTTAAATGAGGAAAAATATGCTAAAGAAGATTGGAATCAGTTTTTGAATCCATCGGATTATTCAGAGACAAAAGAACCTTTCAAAGTTTCAAGCCATGGTACTAGTCTGGAGGCACCAGAAGTCTTCCAACCATTGAGTAGTTGCTCAAACACCATTTCCTCGGAAAGACAATCTAAAGATTCACAATATGAGAGATCTTGCTTGAATCAAACGACAGGCATAAAGAGGTATCTGTAAAATGATTTCCTACATTAAAAGTGTTAGCTACTTTCTTAAAATTATAATAAGCAACAATTATTTATAGCTAGAGTTAAAACATAATAAATAATCAAACTGTACTATATTAATATTATTTTATAAATAATAGAAACTGTACTTGTGGTTATGTAGTTAATAAGAATCTGTGGATTACAACAATTTCATGGGAGAAAAGCCAATTAGGCTATCTCTTTTGAAGAGATTCATATGTCTGTTGAGTTATTGATGATATTTGATTTGACATACACAATAGCTTTCACTTAATTCAGCTACTTACCTTCTGAGATGTGATGTGTAACATTTATATTGTACTAAGATGTTACTCTTTTTTTTTAGTGCTATTTATTTTACAGAAAGTTTTAATACATAACTTTAACACTTCATCATTCTAGGTGAAATTTAATATAGCTTGTGTGATGACCTCAGTGTACTGATGAGTCAAGTATTGAAAAAAAATTTTTTTCCTTTTATGAGTATGTCATAAACATAAGGGTAAACCAAAACATTTAATAAGAAATGTTGGGTTCTAGCTGAAATTTTGAATAAGAATAGCTCTTAATTGTGTGTATTTAGAAGTATCATAATACAGTACAGTATCCATAGTTACATTCATAAAAAAGTGGGACAAGTTTTACTGTCATATTATTGTAAACTTGGATTGTTTTTTAACTGACAAAATGTTCTTTAAACAAAACAAGTTAAAATATGTATGAAAGAAGTTTTTATCTGATGGAGTCATTCAGGAATTAATAAGTTACAGACAAACAAATGATGTGAAAGGAAATTAAAGTTTTTTTCCAAAATAAGTTCAAACAAGATGTAAAAAGAGTAGATAAGTATATAAAAAGACAAAAATAAATCATTAATAGATAACCTAGATTTTCAGTGCCAAAATGTTGAAAGCATTACATGTTAATAATACTAACAGATTTGTATCCTGTGTAGCAAGAAGATCCAAGATATAAATTATTTTAATTGTTTTGTTTTTTCTGCACATGTAGTTTCTTAACTGTATTTGTAAAATTTTTTGCACAGCCCTCAAATTAGTGAAGATGAAAACCCAGTTATTCTACGAAATACTCATGGTTTTAGCTCTGTGCAAAATAGTGCTCCTGGTGAGTGACTTTGTCCTATATATTGTATGGTGTTTCTGATGTTATTATTGTTATGTTTTTTGGGTTTTTTTTGTAGGAGTTGAAGGTTTTTACATTTAAAACTTGCAAGTTTCTCAACCTCTCAGTTGAGAGCAATTTTTTTTTAAATGAGAATTTTGTAACATACTTTTTGTGAAAGGAGGGGCAAAGTAGGCTATTAACTCTCCAAATATGGGTAGGTTAGTTAAAGTGTGCATGTTACAACCTTTTGGCATAGTGACATTGAAAATGTAATCAAACAACTTTATTATCGATGTTTACCAGTAAGCTTAGCATCAGAACATGTTTTATAATTCAAATTTTAATGTAAATTTGAATTTATTAATTTTAAAAAGGAATATTTAAATATATTCTCAGTCATCACTTATTTCCATCATGTGACACTTTTTCACTCTGAATTGTCCATATTAGGTATATTTTACACCCCTATAATATATTCTAACTTTCTGACAGATTACACACTCATACATTAGGTAACCCCAAGCTAAAGTGTAAATTTCTAACCTCTACATTTTTTGCTACATGGTTTCCTCTTCTTCAGTTGCTCCAGGAATTTTTACCAGTACCTCTTCATTCATCCTTGTTAAGACAACCTCAGCCCAACATTCAACACCTGGATGTTTAACAACTCCAGCTTCATGCATGGAAGTTATGCATTCCTTTGTTCGACCATAGAGGTTTAAATTCTACAGTTTCTATTTATTTGACTATATCCTCCATCAACCTACTATGACAATCTATCAATGGAAATGGACTACATATTGTCAGTGGTGTGTTCAGTGAGCCTTCAACCCACTTCATCCAACCGTCTCCATAGTTTCAAGTTTTTTGACATGGATTTTTGAAAGGTTTGGCTTCTACCTTGCATTATATACAGCATCCTTCACTGGTCCCTTTCACTCTTCTTTGTATAGAAAGGTTTTTGACTCCTGTGCTATCTTGTTTTCTGATCCTTTCATATTCATTATCATGCATTATCAATTTATCCCATCAAACCTATGACCTCCTGTTCTTTGTATCACCTTTCCCTCAAGGTATATTTCTATTATGGTTAGCTTCCAGATGCAGCTGTTCTGATTTATTTGCCATTCCTGTTCAGCAGACTCTCTATCTTTCCACCTATTTTCTGCTCTTTCCAGACAGATCCTTCCTACTGAACACTCTCGCTGCCAGAGAAGGTAATAAATTCTTTTTTCGTATTCTTTTCCCAGGCATTTCTATCATACCCAGATCTTTTGTGTCCAGTCAGAGCACTTAGATGTTCTGTGGCTTGTACAGAACTGTTCAGCTTTTTATTTAGTGGGATCCTGCAGTGTTTCTGGATTTATCACCCATTACATTCACCAGAGGGCTTTGGGAGTTGATTCCTATAGCTTATTCGGGGTTATCTGCTGTTGATGGAAATATACTCCACATCTATCAATGTCACTGTCTGCTTGTCTGAACTGTTCTCTGGGGGATATTTTGTGAGCCAGTATGTGGACTTCTCCCAACACTTTCCTATCTCATTACCTTCATGATCTGGCAGTTTTCTCTTCCGTGGAATTTTTGCATCCCCCACATAGCTATGTTGACTACCTCTGCTAGATTTTAACAAGGTGTGTAACTTTCTTACCTGATCAACAGTTTTTCTTCTAGGGTTCCTCTTTATTTCCTTTGGATCACACTCAGTGGTGAGTGTTGCCCAGTCAGGTGTGCTTGTATTTTTTTCAGTTCTGCACTAGCAACCTTTATATTGGTTCATGGTTACAACAGGCTCTGTCAAGATGAGGTGTTCCATAAGACCATCTAGACGCAATTCTGGATGGTAGTATTATCTCACAATACATATCCAATGGACTGCCACTCATGGACTATCATAAGTAAAGCTAAAGGGGATTTTGTCAGTCCCTTCTGATCTTAGAGCTGAATCAGTCGAGATTGGTTTGCTTTTAAAACTTGGGAGAATATGTTCACCTGTTGCACTGTCGCCGGAGACCTGTTCCTCAGGACTCCCCAACACACACATGTCCCCCCCCCCCACCTACTGCTACTAGTGGAGCTAGGGAGTCCTTACCACAGACAGTTCCCAGTTGCTGGGGTGATGGACAGAGGATTTTTCCTTTGGAGTGTTGAGTTTTCTCCACTCTCAGAAAAGAGGGAGAAGTTGGGGACTCTCCTATCTGGGTCCCTGGAAGTTTTTCCCAGATATCAGTAGGAGCAGGGCCAACCTATATGGGAGCCTGCTTGTAAAACCGGTTCAGATTTGATGCTTAGCTATATGGTGGGGGTGTGCTTAGACCCTCTTATGAACACTGTCAGGTCTCAGGTTGTTCCTGCAGGGGACCCAGTTTTAAATCTCCTTTTAAATCCGAACACAATGAGGTCCAATCTTAGGCCCTTGGTGGAACAGTGTTCCACATCATCTCCGTAATTCCATGGGTAAGTGGAATTTTCCTTGCCCATTTGGTTGAGGAGTGAAAATGACTGTTCGTAAATCCAGACCAGATGAGTTCTGGACATTAGGTGGAGTATGGCATATATGATCCTGTCAATCCAAGCCTGTGATGTTGCCTTTTGGATTTCTTCAGATTGATCAGAAGTATTGTCCACTTTGGTATTACTTCCTTTCTGTCGTAAATCCAGTTGTTCGAAACGCATCATTCCGTGGCTGCTGATGGGGATCCTATCACAAAGATATGTATATATTTGTGATCCAACTGCCCTTGCCACCAGTGGGGGATATGGGTACCATGACCCCTTAAATCCAGCCCCGAATCATGGAACCTTGGCTGCGTGGTTGGGGCTAGCCCATCATACTCACTTGTGTAATATACCACCCTTTTCCTTTTTCTGAAGTTCTGGGTGTAGAGCATACCTATTCTGGATGTAGAGTGGTTTTCCCTGCTTGGGTACCACCTCTCATGGTACACCTTTGTTCTATACAGATATTTTCTGTATGAACTATGCCCTCACCGGCCCCCTCCGCCTTCTAAATGTGGGATTCTAGTTATAAGTGTCAGTGGAGGTATGTATGTTTCGAAAGTTATCATTTTTCTAATCTTAAATTGTATTTCCAAACATACTTACCTCCGCTGACACTCTCCCTCCCTTCCTCCCCACTAAGAGCTGATGTTAGTGACTGGGATGGGCTAAGTCTCAAAAAAGTGATTATATTGTCAACATACAGTGTTTATATAAAGTACCTGCATAGAGGGCATGTGAGGGATGGCATAAGGTTTTGCAAATTAGATATTGCTGAGGGCAGTCAAGTGGGGTATAAAGACTGGAGCAAGCAAACACAATATTTAGATGGCAAAGATGAAGATCGAGAAATAACTATAAGTGTCAGTGGAGGTAAGTATGTTTGGAAATACATTTACAGATTAGGAAAATGATAACATCTAAACAAGAAAGTCAAACCTACATGCCACACCTTTCTAGTTCATCCTATCTTTCAAAAAGTCTTTCTAGAAAATTTGCTATTGGATTATTTCTAACCACTAGAAAGAAAAGATTCCAATTCATGTGAGCATTGTAGTGTTATTCAACAAATATGTGCTAGTAACTTGATCTATTGTTTACACTAAGCTGTTCTGCTTAATAAATAGCTATCATATAGGGTTTAAGTGCAACTGTAATGAAGTAAAATTAAATGAATATCTGTTAGCTTTGGCTCTAAAAATAAACTATGTGTAATTGTCTGTTACACTGTGCAGTCATTCTGGAAAGAAAAAAGATTAATTTTGATTTATTTCATATTTTTTGTGTTGTGTGGTGGTTATAAGGTACCTTAGTGTTAGGGTAGTAAAAATGACATAAAATATAATAAAGTTTTACTGGAAAAACTTTTGATATTCATTTAGGAGTTTCTAGGGGTTATGCAAATGAAATTTGAAAATTTGAACTGACTTAGTAAAGGTTGTATAAATTCACAGACAAATATTTCATGAAAATACTTTATAAAAAAAAAGTTTGAGTATGTGTGCACAACACAACAGCCTCATAATGTTTACTGAAAACTTCACAAATTTTGTGAAGATGCACTTGCTACACTAAAAATTATAGTATGTATAGTTACATGTTCAAAGATTGTTCAAAATGACTGAGCTTATGTACAGAATCTTAAAACCAGCTAAAGTACTCTTAAAATAAAGACTTGGGATTCAAAGGAATTGCTAAAGTTCTAACAAATATTAAGTGGTGTTCTATTGCAGACAATATATTTTCATTGGTCTATGGATTGCACACTTAATAGTACAAAAAGTTTTTCATCTGGTAGCTGCACATAGTCAAAGAATGTTGTAGCTATTGTTGTTTACAATGTTTTCTCAAAGAAATGTTAGAACTGCATCTTAATTAATTTGATTTTGGTTTATGACTCACCTTATTCGTAAACCAGTATTTAAAAATACAAAATATATATTTATATATATATATATTGTTCATTATCATAACTTGTACTTTGATAAATATATTATTTTAGTAGGAAGAAGATATTTATTGTGGAGTTATTCTGATTTGTATATTTTCATTTTTCTTTTTCAATGAACAAAAGTTCAGCCTTCTTCTAAGAAGGAAGTGGTAGATGCTGAACCTAATCAAATGCATGCATTACGAGTCCCACACAGACCAGCTCCACCAGTTCCAACCTTTAGCTCACAATCATCACAAATAAAGCACGGTAAGATTTGGTATTCTTTTTTAAATGGATATGTTAATATTACAAATTTCTTTAAACCTTGGACTGTAATAGAAGAATGTTGAATATTTTTCACATAATGAATCAACATATTTCTTCAGATCAATTGAAGACCTCTGTTGACTATAGGCCTTTTTTGGGAAAATCTGTATAAATAAATAAATTTAAATTTTATGTAAATGATTTAGAACTAAGAAGCTGGACTAATATATAAACAGGGTAAACATTTTGTATAATTTGGATTTTTTCTGCATATGATACAGATATCTCTACAATTTATTATAACCAAACTTTGTTTTTATATATATGGTATTTGTATCTCATCATCATCTATAATATGTGTGAGCTAATTACACTTCTTATAATGTTTACACTTAAAATATATGTTCGAAATAATTAGGAAAAATTAATAATGTTATTATGTTACACCCTTTATTATAAGACAGCTAAGATTTTGAGTTTATTCATTTTAAGACATATTATGGCTGATGAAAGCAAGCTCATCTTTATATGTAATGAGATTAATTTATGTACTAGTCCAGTTGATCTAGATTATTCATTCGTATTATCATACAGTGTAGATGTATCATTTTAGTCTTAGTGTAAATTGCTGTTCCAGGTGTTTCCAGTGCCTCTTGGAATCAAGCTACATCAATGGAAGATAACAACAAGGTATTATGGACATGTAATATATCACAATAGTTTTTTCAGGGATTATTATATGAACTGCTTTTAACATATCTAACAAGTTAAATAATTATAATAATTTTTAAAATTCTGTTTCTTTCTTCTATGAGACAGTCGTTGTAATAAAGCCTTAACACTTTGTGCATAGTGTTGGTCTGTTGGACTTGGCCCATATTGGAGAATTAATGTTCAATATAATTCCAAATTTACAAAGTGTATCTTTGCCACATTTAGTAAGCTCTTTCTGAATTTTACAAAATGTTGTATAGAAAAAAATCAGAATTTTTAATAAAGTATTCTTAATTTTTAACTAAAGAATTATCTGTGAATTTATCAGTCAGACTCTCTCTCTCTGATACTCTAACTAGTGTGAGGGCAAGGTGAATTTCACTTTAACTCTCTTAATATGAGCTCAGTCAATTTGACTGACCATGTTACCTTTTTGTACTCATTCAAAGTCTATAGATATGATACTACTAACTTTTAATATAGTGTGTGTATCTTCGCGAAATTTGGCAGTCTTTCAGTAAACCTAAGTCTTTCTCTTGCAAAAAATATTATTTGTAGTGAAGTATGTTTAATAAACTAAAAAAAGATTTGTCCATGAATATATCGAGTATTTGTTTTGAATAGTCCGTGTGCAGAGTGATTTTCATGTTAAGATTAAAAATACTTTTTTACATCTCAAATTTCATTTGTGTAATCTCTAAAACCTCCTAAATACATTTCATATGTTTGTTTTCAGTGAAACTTTATTATTTTTCTGTTATTTTCTTTACCCTAACTGTATACAAGGTTGGTCAATTTGACTGACCTCGTAACCACCAAAAATAAATAAATCTAAATTACCCTCTTTTTCCTTCTAGAATGAACATGAAACTAAATGTAACATGAAACTACATTCATTTATCCTAAGTAGCTTTAAACTCATAACAGTATATGTCTATTTATAAATAAATTTTATTGTTTTATTGCCCTTTGAGCCATGTCTAACTACTATTCATGTCATTTTTAGTTATTAATCAGTTGGGAAGTGTGAAGCTCATGTTACACTATCAAGTTACCTTACCCACGAGCTGCTCATGTGCATGCCTTGTGAAACATGTTTATGACATTATTATTATTATTTATTTTACCTAATCTAACCTAAAAAGATCCCTATTTTTACATTTTAGCTAATTTTATAATAATAAATAAAGAATAAACATGAAAAACAAGAAATAAAATACTTTATCAAGTATTATTTTTCTTTTGCTGCCGACTATTAATGATACTTAACCCTTTTGTATACTAATGGTAGTATTGCATTAGATAATTTTTATTTAATTAAATAATGCGTCAAAGAAAATACACCAATAACATACAAAAAGTATACAATTACTCTCAAACTTTTTCTGGTTTTCTAACTAAGTGACAAGACCCATTACAAATTCATCCAAGCTAGTCATTAACTTTCCCACAGGAATAAACTGTGTATTGTAAGTGAAATTGATGATTATCTATTCAGAACACTGTTATACAATACATCATTTGATAGATGAAAAACCATCATTTTCTATTGATTATAGGTAATATATAATTAAACATAAGAGAGAACTATTAACAAATCCTGAAAGAGAGGATGTGACAGGATGGGTCTGATTTTCCATTTGTTAGCTCTGTAACCATATAAAATTGAAGGTTATAAAAATTATGGTTTGTCTGAGCAATTTCAATTTTATTAAATTATTATAGGATTTTTTAAAATATTGCCTTATAAAATTAAAAACTTAAAACTTTTATACTATTAAAATATGGATTATTAGCTAAGATCTTATGCTATACTAATTGGTATAACTTAAAGAAAAAGTAGTTAATAAAATTTTGAATGTAAGACACAAAAACCTTGTGTCATGCACAGTAAAGGATACCTGTGGCATTAGGGTTAACAATAAAAATACTTTTTTCATCTTATAGGTTCATATTTCATTATGTATATCAAGTGTTTTTCAGTAAAACTTTGTTTTATCTCTTATTTTCTGTATGTTAACACTAACTGTAGTGAAATCAGCAAAGTAGGGTAAAATGAAAAGTTGAAAAATTTTAAATATATCTAAATTACCTACTTTTTTTCAATAATGACTGCATACCATAACAGACAATTACACACTATTCATTCTTACAACCAACAAACTCTTAGGCAATTTATGTTTATTGTTTCACAGCTGCATGTAGATTATGACACAAGTAGTTTGTCATAGTGAGGAAGCTTTGTGAAAGCAAAGGATCAAGTTACATGCACACATAGTTAAATTACAATCATGCTGTGCATGCCATATTGTAATAAGAGCATGGTATAGCAAGTATTATTTTTATTTTCATTTAAGTTTTATTATCTAACAAAGTAGATCTGATAGGATATCTTACCTCTGCTCATTCAGTGCTGCCCCTCTATATGCACAAATTTTTTTGCTCGCCAGTAGCCTTGAAACTCCCACCTACCCATGTTTCTACATGGTTCAGTTGTGTTGTAGTATGCAAATAAGCATGTGGCAACCCTCCACCAATAGGAGAATGACACACTCATGTCGCAGCTGGCTCTCTCTATATTGTAGAACCCAGTTTTCTTTTCTCAATTTGGCACAGTGTTAAGATGTGTTAATATTTGCTTGTGCTTTTACTTTAATTTATGTTTATCATTTTGGGGCTATCTATTAAACAACTTAGTTGTTTTTTGCTTCATTTTATACAGTGATAATCTTAACCGCAGTTGGACATGACTTCTGAATTTTTTTCCACTACCACTACTTCCTTAGTGACGAGCATTACAACATTTTAACCTGCTGTGTCTCAGGCTACAGACAGGCATTACACTTTTGGCTGTGGTGGTCATGTTTTTTTTGACAGAAGATGGGTTATGTCTTGCAGCTGGCTGTTTTTTCCAAGCCCAGACCTGACATTTCTTTGTCTGAGGTCACACTCGTTTTATATATTGGCTCTCACTCTTTGGAGAGTAATGCCTGTCCAGGTACACTTATTCTTAAGTATGCACTGTACAGCCAGTAAGGTCAGTAACACTCACTGTTAAGATGTGGTGTTCAGCAAAACCACTAATAGTTTGTTCCTTGCTGTGATTTGTGTCATAAATATGTTCTTCCCAGGACCATACACTTTCTTCCAATGAAGTACGGAAGTCCTTACCACTTACCAGCTCCTAGTTGTTGGGGTGGTGGACCATAGAGGCTTCCTCCCAAGTGTGCTTAATCCCACTCAGTTGAGAGTATGGCAATGATGTTCTGCTGGTGCAGATGGCACGATCATCCTTCTAATGTGAACCTGATGTACAATTCCAGAAGCTGAATTGGACTTTCCCGTTACATGCAGTTCACCAGCTGGAACCCTCCTTCCTACCACTACCTGGATGTCAGTTCCCAGGCAACTTTTGTTGAAGCTGGACCAGTCAACATAAGACCTCACATGTGAGTAGGCTGGAACCCTCCTCTTACAATGGACTGGATGATAGGTTCCTAATGACACATGGTTTTGGACTTTTCGTTCCACCTTCCTACTGTTGTCTGGATGTTAGTTCCCGGGGGAGACAGTTCAGGTTGTGTTATGTATGCAAACATGATAGTTTGAGTTCTGAGAACGGACGTGCTTCTTACATTCTGGTTCCTGAAGTGAAGATGATAGAGGATCCTCATACTGTGGTCTGGATGATACATTCCTGGTAACAATGGTTTTTGACTGGAGTTGACTTTCCAATTACAGTCCAACGTGCTCTAACCACTCCACACCATGGGCACGTCTGGCTACAGCTCGTCAAGGACCCTCCTCCTACCTTGAACCGGGTGACCTATTCCTGGATCCACTTCTTTTGGGGTTGAATTAATCCCTCATTTACAGTCCAGATAAAGATGATTGAAGAACCTCCTCTTTCTGTGAATGTAATGATCCATTCCCAGTTCCATTAGTTTTGGACTGGAATTGACCTCCTGTCTATGGTCTGACATGCCCTATCGACTCTATACCTGGGGCATGTATGTCTGAATTTGTATGTGCTTCTTTACTGCCCATTTAGCAACACATTCATTCATTGAGGACAAAGAGTATACCTGGTTCAGATGTGGTGCAGTCTTTCACAAGTGTGTTCCTCTACTGAGAGAAGCCACACTCAATGGGCATTCTTCGGACACTTTCCGAAGGGTGCTCATCTAGGTAAATCTTGCACTGGTCCCTTCACCAGGTCAATGTGGGATTCTAGCTATTATGTGAACGGAGGTTAGATTTTGTATCAGATGTTAATATTTTCTTACACTGAAAATATATTTCTGATAGATATTTATCTCTACTTAAACTTCCTACCCTTTCTCCCCACTTCCGGTACTTCTTTTCTGCCTAATCTCAAGGTGAAAATTGGGTTCTACAGTATGAAGGGAGCCAGCTGCAACAGGAGAGTGTGTCATGCTTCCATTGGTGGAGGATTGTCACATACTTATTTGCATACTATAATGCAGCTGAACCATGTAGAAACATGGAGTAGGTTAGAGTTTCAAGGCTAATGATGAGAGAAAAAATTTGTGCATACAGAGGGTGGCACTGAATGAGAAAAGCTATTGTGTGACAGAAGGTAAGTATCTATCAGAAATATATTTTCAGTGTAAGAAAATATTTTGTTTACTAATGTAAAACTAAAATTTTAGGCTATAAATTTACATACATATATATATATATATATATATACTACAAGTCTGTAATTTATGTCAAAAGTATAAGTATAAAAAGAAAATCTAAAATGAGCAATTCAGAGTAAATAAGTGTCGCATGATACAGAGAAGGGAAGATTGAAAATTTACTTAAATATTAAAATTTGAATTATAAACTACATACATTTTATGATAAAACTGTTTAAGCCTCTTGCCCCAGGTACCCTTTACTGCGCATGACACAAGGTTTTAGTGTCTTACATTCAATATTTTATTAAAATATTTTTTGTTGATGTATACCAATTAGAATATGATAAAATCTTAGCTAATAATTCATATTTTATTGGTATATAAGTTTTAAGTTCTTAATTCTACAAGGCAATATTTAAAAAAATCCTGAATTTCCACTAATGTGACCCACGTGACACATTTTGTCTTAGTATGTTATCATCTCTATTTTATTCATCACCCCTCGAAAATGTATGAAATTATATGTAAAATATTACTCAAACAAATCATAATCTTTATACACTTCAATTTTGTTTGGTTACAAAGCTATCGAATAGAAAATCAGACCCTTCCTGCCATATCCACCTATCACATCCTCTCTTTCACAATTCCTTGATTGTTCTCTCTTATGTTTCATTATATATTACCTATAACCAGTAGAAAGTCAAGGTTTTCATCTATCAAACGACATATTGTATAACGAATAGAATATTGTCAGTTTCACTCACAGTACAAGATTTGTTCCCATGGGGAAGTTAACGACTAGTTTGGATGAACTTGTAATGGCTCTTGTCGCATAGTTAGAAAGTTAGAACATTTTTAGAGGTAAGTGAATTTGTCTACTTTTTGTATGTTATTAGTCTATATTCTTTGGTGCATTATTTAATTAAATAAAAATTATTAAGTGCATTACTATCTACATTATAAAAAATTAGGGCTAACTCTCTTTGAAACCTGAGAGCAAGGAAAAAAATATTAGGTGAGTACTTTATTTCTTGTTTTTCATATTTGTTCTTTATTTATTACTGTAAAAGTAACTAAAATCTAAAAATATGGATCTTTTAAAGTTATTTAAAACTAGATTAAGTAAAATAAATAATAATAATATGATTAAAATGGTTTACGAGGCACACACGCAAGCAGCTTGTGGGTAATGTAATTTGACAGCGTAATGTGAGCTGCATGTTCCCCAAGTGATTTACAACTTATAATGTTAAGAACTTAGAGCTACTTAGGATAAACAAATGTAGTTTCATGTTACAATTTGAAGTCATTCTAGAAAGAAAAAAAGGTTTATTTTGATTTTTTTTTTAGGGTTACAAGGTCAGTCGATTAAACCAATCCTGTTTTGAGATAGGGTAGAGAAAATGAAAGATAAGCTATAATGTTTTACTAAGAAAATACATTTGAAATGCATTTAGGAGGTTTTAGGGATTACACAAAGGAAATTTGAGATTTTTGATATGAGGAAAAGTATTTTTTATCTTAACATGAAAGTTACTTTGCACATGGACTATTCAAAACAAGTACTCAATATATTCATGGATAAATATTTATTTTATTTTATTAAAAATACTTCACTAAAAATATTATTTTTGTATGTGAAAGACTTACAATGTTAACTGAAATAATGTCAAATTTTGTGAAGATATACACGCTATAGTGTAAGTTAGAAGTATTAAATCTATAAAGACTTTGAATGTGTACAAAGAGGTCACGTGGTTGCTCAAATTGACCAAGCCCGTGTTGAGAGAGTCAAACATATTGGGTAGTTTTTGTATTTGAAAGACTTGTAATATTATCTGAAAGTTAAACAAGTACAAAAAGGTTACATGGTTGGTCAAATTGACCGAGCCTGTATTGAAAGTGTTAAATAAATGTTGAATGTAACTGTGTAAAATGGACATTGCATGTGCACTTTGATCTATCCCCAGGCACATACATTTAAATCTCTGATACGATTTGCTATAATATACATATATATATATATATATGTAGTAGCTAGAAGGTTTAAGTTCTTTAAATTTCTAAATATACAGAGTTCTTCCAGAACTTAAGGTATAAATACTGGTTTGGTGAAGTTTAGGAGGCTTTAGAAACAAGCAGAGTTGATGAGATAGCAGTCATAAGAGATAATATCTTTCAACATAGTTAAAACACTGGTAGATCATTCAACAAAAGCTTATGACACATGTTGAGATACATTATTAGATTATATACTATGTAAGATGAATAAAAGTTTTAAGTGAGCCAAAATAATTTTATTTGGTGCAATTTGAGAGAGTAAGTTGAAATTGTAACTTTCACAGAAATGTTACACTAATCTTCAATGCTCAAAAGAAATATTTTATGTGTAACATCTCTGTAATTATCAACTGTGTGTGTGTACATATAAATGTACAGCTTTACTGCTGTTGTTCTTGATTTTTCTAAACATTTTCCTCTTTTTCAGAATATAAAAGATGAAACTGATGGGTTAAAGGACAGCATAGAATATTTGAGTTGTAAGTAGAGTATTTATATTTGAAATATTGGATGGATATTTCTCTGTATCAGAAGAGAAGCAAATCAGTTATTTGGATTGTGTAATGTATATAATATTAACTATTTAGTATTCACGTTTATGTTGTAAGCACTAAAAGTTAGCAATATGTAAAAAAAAAAATATAAGGAAATAAGCCACAAAACACTTTCCTCTAAAACAGCTGACTTGTGGCACTAAAAACAAATATCTTGCAATATGACATTTGGCTTATTAAAAAGTTTGTTTTGAATTTTGCACAAAGCTACACAAGGTCTATCTGTACTAGCCATCCCTAATTTAGCAGTGAAAGACTATAGAGAAGGCAGCTAGTCATCATCACCCAATGCCAACTCTTGGGCTACTCTTGTACCAATAAATAGTAGGATTGATCATCACATAATAATGCCCCCATGGCTGAAAGGGTGAGCATGTTTGGTGGGATGTGGGATTTGAACTCATGATCCTTGGACTGTGAGCCAAACGCCCTAACCACCTGGCCATGCTGGGCCTTACGGAAAAGAAGGCTTTTATCATATTTTTGCATATGAGTGTATATGTCAATTATAAATGCTGTTTTTTTGTTGTTGTTTTTTTTAAATTGAAAAAATATGGAACTTAAAAACAAGATTAGGTTTCTTCATTTATATGTACAGTTATCTTCTTCTTATTCAAGATTTTCACAAGTCAAAGAATAAAGTGCCAATGTTTGAAAATAATCCTTATATTTGAATTAGTAAAACAGCTTAAGTAAAATGAAAGGTTTGTAATTCTAATAGGTAATTTTATTATATTGTTTAATACAGTTTGTTATTTTCAACAATGTTTAGACCAGTGATGTGCAGTAAGCAACATGATGGAGGAAGCTGTGATACATAGGGGGTGGAGGTGTGGGGATATAGAGTGGGGAGTGCATGTGCAAGCAAATTCAACCAAAACCATAACACTTATTGTGACCAGTTGTTTAAAAAATTAAAATGGAAATTCATTCATAATAATTAATGCATCTTTTATAATTGCTTTAAATGATAAAGTAACACAAAACCAGAAACAGACATCCATAAATAAAACTTTAATTTACTGAAAGTATGTTGACTTCTTTGGCTCTTTAAGTTCTCAGAGAAGCTCCTTTTCTCAGACATTTGATTTAGCAGGTATTCCAATAATTTTTTTTTTCCTGGTAGCAACGAGCTCTGTTGAGATGAGGTGTTCCGTAAGACCAACTTGTGAGTTTTCCAGATAGTAAACAATTATACAACAACAAACAATACACTACTGAACTGCCACTCATGGTCTATCATGAGTAAATTTTAAGGGGATTCTGCCCATCCCTGCTGACCCCAGGATTAAATAAATTGAGGTTGGTTTGCATTTCAAAATGGGTAACATTGTGTTCACCTATTGCACTGTCTCTGGAGCATCATTTCTCGGGACTCCCCAATGTGATTAACCCACATTTCTTCTTGTGAAGTGTAGGAGTCCTTACCACTCACAGTTTCCAGTCACTGGAGTGGTGGACAGAGGTTTTTTCCTTCTGAGTGACAGTTGAACTCATTATTCTGCTCAAGGAGAAAAGGGTGAAGCTGGGTGCCCTCCTACCAATAACCCTGGATGGTCTTCCCAGATGTATGGTAGGAGCAGGACCTGCCTACATGGGAGTCTATTCTTAATTCCGGTTCAGAAATAACTATCTGGTTGTGTTGTGGGTGGCCCTTCTCTTTGGTCATCACGGAAGAGGGGTACTCCACTCCTTGTAATTCCACACGTAAAGAGTCAATTCCTGTGTCGTTGGTTGAACTTAGTTTGTTCCATGTCCTCCTCATAATTCTGGGGGCACAAGGTGTTGCCTTGTCTCTCGGGTTGGGGACTTAGGATTGCTGTTCGTAATCCCAGGCTGGGTAGTCTCTGTTTCTTCAGGTTGAGTGAGATGTGACAGGTCCCATAATTCCAAGTTTGGTTTGTTGCATTTTGCACTTCTTCAGGTTGGTGCGAGGGTTTGTCCACTTTTGTATTGCTTGCCTTCTCTTTGTAATTCTGGTGGCTCGACATGCAACATTCTGCAACTTTCAGGTTGGGTTCCAATAATACCAGATTACTAAACAAGACCAAATACAAAGTGGTTCTCATGCCCTAGATCTAGATTTGGGTCCACAGTCTTATAATTCCAATGATGAGATGGGACCTTGTCTGCCTGGTTGCTGCTTAGCCAAATTCATGTTCTTCTAACAATGTTAGGATTTTGCCTCTGTGGCTGGCCATCCTTTACTGCCTAGGAATTGGATTTCATGTTATCTGGGCAAAGAGCATACCTGTTCACAAGTAATGTGGGCCCCACTAGTGTGTTATTACTATATCTCTAATTCATACACCTCTTTTTCTATGCATATGCTTTCTGTGTGGATCTTACTCTCACTGGTAAGTGTGTTTTGGAAGTTAACATTTTCCTATATTGAAAATGTATTTCTGATAATACTTCCCTCCACTCGCACTTCATCCCCACTAAATGGCCAGTTTCAGGGGTACTAATTTGGACCATCTCGAAAAGTGAATAGGAGTTAATAATGGGGAGCTTATATACAGATCTGGAATAGGGGGTTCATTGATGTAGATGGAGAGAATCACAAGATTTAACTTGCTGTGGGCAATATAGTGGAGTATAAAGGGTGGTGCAAATGAGGTATCAGAGAAAACTAGTGCAGACAGTCCTCACGCACAGATAAAATAACACATCTTAAGAAAGTACATACATACACGTGTGTGTGTGTAAGTTGTGTATGTATATTACACAAGTTATTATTCTTATTAATTTTTTATTTATTTTAGCTTCTCATTACTCTCAGGAAGCTATTACCAGTTTTTTTAGCATTGATAGCAATGTAGAACATTGTGTATGATACATATTTCATGCTTTATGTAGATTGTAATGCCTGACATGCTTTTTTTTTAGTTGTTTATGTTTCTGATTAGATGATGTTCAGAGGTTGGTGTTTAAAGAACCCAAAGAAATAGATGACACTATGCAGCACACAGAAGCTCTTAAGGAAGAGGAGGACAATAAAAACAAGGAAACTGAAGACCACAGGTATTGGACACTTCTTCTTTAAAAATACATTAATGTAGCAAATCATAAACCAAGAATTTAATCCTTTCATTTCCGAAGAGTAAGTAAAATATTCAACTAATTGTAAGAGGTTTAATATGAAATTTACTTAACCTTTTTTTTCTACTAGAATTTCTCCTTCAATGCATGAAATTTCTTGTAGCCAACAAGTAATCTTTGGATATAGCCAGTTGTGGACAGATGAAATTACTCTATTTGCATGTAAACTTGTAACATTTTTCTTCGTCATGACTTCCTATACAATATATACATTCCAAAAGAAATATGTTTTCAGGAACTTACATTTTTATGGAAATATCGTGCTATTTGTGATGAAAGCTTCAAATATGTGTGACTACTGAACTTTATTTCACTGTGAAAGTTTAAAGGTATATTATTTAAAAAAGTAGAATAGAAGAACTGCATCTCCGACCATTTATCAGAGCAATGTACATAACTTAGAGAAGTTTATTACAGAAGATAAACAATTTTTTTACAAAGAATATTTATATATTCCTAATTGGCTAAATCTTTTAACTTAGACAAAAGATGGAAGCACTCAGGAAAAATGTGATTAGAGAGCTTCTACAAACCGAACAAGATTATGTACGAGACTTGGAAATCTGTCGAGATGTGTTTCTTAGAGATCCATCAGTTGGAAAGGTAATAAATTATGCAAAATTGCTAAGATAGTCAATTAAATTTTAGTTGCAAAAATATTTTTTAATGCTTTCTAGCAAAATATTTTTATTTTTTGCTGTATCTAATCTTTGATTATAACTGCTTGATAAAAATGTATTTTGGGAAATACAGAAAACATTGCTAATGGATTTTTCCATAAAGCAGCAAAGTTTGAACAAAATTTATTTCATTTATTAAATTTTTAAACTTGTTTTGTATTCTTATTATTTGACCTAAAAATACTGTTATGTCTAAAAATGTGTTTTAACTCTCAAATTACTGACTTATATACTATTATGGAAAGTCCACATATTTTATTAAGTTTAATAATTTTGTTTTGCATGTTACAATATTTAGTGTACAGAAGTGAAAAAAAAATTGAAGTAAATAATTTTCTATGTAAAATATATATGGAACCCTAATTGTAATCAGTGGAGTAATTTTCATTATGGATGGTATTTTTGCTAAATGCTTTTGTGCAACTCCTATGTTATTAGAGACCCTTTAGACAATAAACAAATTGATCATAAGTAATTTGACATGAAAATAGTTTACCAAGACATGTTTAAAAATCCATTGTTGTCTACCTGTATGTGTGAACTCCTTCAGTAATTCTAGGAATAAAAAAATTGACATGGAAATTTTCAAAGACCAAAATGTGAAGTAAAAAATTGTTTGGAGAGAATTTTATAACAAATCTGTATTCACTTCTTTGAGTTTGCTGTTTAATTGTGTCTGTGATGTGTGGTCTGTCTGGTATGAAGCTTGATCACATTACTATATCAATTAAAAACACTAAATATACAAATATAATATTTTAATTTTACTCAGAAACAATGAGGTCTTTCTGTTAGTAACGATACCTTATGCTATTTTTTTATGTCAACAGTTATGGAATAAAAACTTTCTTAAAGTAGTTTATTTCAGAAAAGCTAAAGGTGTAGTGAATTGTGGCCTGAATAGTATTTAAAACTTCAAAATTGCTACTTTTTGATTATTTATTATATTTAAAAAAAGTTAAAACATATTTTAAAGCTCATCTCTTGCTTTTTATCTATTTATTATTTTCATATGATATTCTTATTTCAGAGAAAGGGTATAGATATGGAGACATTGTTTGGAAACCTTGACGAAGTCATTGAAGTAGCTTCAAAATTATTAGAAAACTTTGAAAAAGAGGTGACTGAAAAATCACCTGAGGAGCAAAATATTGGTAACAGGACTAATCTGTTAAAATATTGATTGTCTGAAACATGCTTGTATTGTCACAAATGAAAAAATGTAAAAGTAGGTTACTTTCTCTTGTAGCATAATATTCATTTGTGAGTTGTTGTTGTTTTTTGTTTGTTTTTTGAGTAATAGAGAAAACATGCAATACAATGTATGTTAATTCACATTTGATATGAAAATCCAAGATAAGGTATGCTGGAAAGATGGGCAAGGGCAGCACAGGGATTGGTTAAATGTGTGTGATATCATCAGGCAATCTCTACTAGTAGTAATTAATAGGCTATCTAGTTAATTTTTAAAACCTTTTGTTGTTGTTTTCTGAAGCTTTACCTTTAACTCTCTCACTATGGGCAGGTCAAAGTGTGCATGTCACTAAACATATAATTAAACTACATTATTTTCATAGTATACAAATATACTTTGCATAAAAACATAGTTAATAATTCAAATTTTAATATTATATAAGTTTTAAGTTCTTAATTTTATGAGGAGATATTTAAAAAATCCTCAACCTCACTCTCATGTGAGAATTGTGACATTTGCCCTCTAGGTATTCACTCTTCTCTAATTTATTTACTGCCTCTTCTAGAAGTACAGAATTTAATGTAAATTACTCATTATAATATTGTTATCATGTAGTACAAATATAATTTTTATTGTTTTCAATCTTATTTTGTTACAGAGCCATATAATAGGAAATCAGATCCCACTTGCCATGCCTACCTATCACATACTCTCTTTCACAAATTGCCAATAGTTCTCTCTGAATTTTAATACTATATTATTTATAGCCAATAGAAAGCCAAAGTGTTAATCTATCAAATGATGCATTATATTATGTTGTTGTCTGAACAAAAGATTGTCTATTTTTCTGCCAGTTCACTCTATATTCCCATTGAAAACACATTGACGAGCTTAGCTGAATTTTTAACGGATCTTATCAAATAGTTAGAAAGCCAGAAAAATTATAATAGTTATTAAATATTGTCTTCTTTTCATGTGTCATTATTCTGTATTCTTAGGTTCATTATTTTATTAAATAAAAAAGTATTTAGTGTTGTTGTACCATAAGTATACAAAATTATGGTTAAGTTTCATCGAATGTAGATAGCAAAAAAAAAGAAGATCCAGGTAGGTAAAAACAAATGTATACTGTTACAAGTTTAAACCATTTAGGATAAACAAATGTAGTTTCATGTTACAATTTTCTAGAAAGAAAAAGAAAAGGAAGTTTAGATTTATTTTTTGTTTTTTTTCATGAGGATTATGATGTTGGTCAAATTGACCAACCTCTTATAGAGTTAGGGTAGAGAAAATAACAGATGAAATATAAAGTTTTACTGGAAAAACATTTGAAATTTATTTAGGAGGTTTTTAGGGCAATCAACACTTTGACTCAATATACTCAGAAAGAAATGTTTATTGAAAATACTTCATATAAAATTTCTGATTTTTTTGCTTATAAAAGACTGTTAATACTTACTGAAAGCTTGCAAAATTCCATGAAGATACACAGAACACATTAGAAGTTATAGTTTTAAAACTATAAAGGTCAAGTTTGAGTCAAACTCAGCTGATTCAGTGAAACCCGTAGCAAGAGAGTTAAAACCTATATAATTGCTCAAAGAGCCTGTAATAATGTATAACAGCCTGTTTGATGCTTCAGCCACTAAAAATGTATATATTTACATAATTATAATTTTTGTTTCTTCATTTAGAATGTAACATTCAGTTCTTAGTTGTAGCTGTCATACTTGTGTTCTGAAACAGACATTCACTGTGGCCAATGATACATGAATAATCTCAGCTACAAGATAAGGAAAATTATCCTCAGTTGTTAGTTATAAGCTGGAAAACAACTATGTTTGAATTATATATATACCCTTAGTTGGTTTTGTAGGATGTAATCGATGATAATGTAGCACCTCTGAAAAAAAGATTTTGCTACAAATAGCCTGTAATTTGTCAAATTTAGTCTATTTTAAATACTAGCAGCAGCAGACACTGCTGGGAGACTTTAGTTTAATTTCAACTATACTTGTAAACATTTATTATTCCTTTGCTCTCAACTGTAAATATTAAGGTGTGAAAGAGAACATACAATTCATAATTTATTATATAAGAAATAATCGTTAACTCCATCAGTTATCATAATAATAATCCAACTGATACATAAAATGCTGTACGTGAGATATGCAATAATAGAAATATTGTCAGAATCTTAGAAACATTTGATAATAGTAAAATTAAACACTTACTTTGAAATGAATATTGGAAGTCTTCAAAATTCTGAAGTTAAGTGATCTAAACATGATCAATTGTTAGTGTAATTTAAATTTAAAATATGTACAAACATGATAGAAAATGAGTAAAATATCTATTGGCATTGGTAGCAACTAAGGAACTAATGAATGTAAGGATAATTTACAGAATCTTGTAAGGGCATATATGTACCTTGGTGGTACCTGAAGACTGATTTATCCAAACATGTATGCAACTCGGTTATCAGTAGGAAAATTTCATAGCTTGTCAGATTTCCTATAGACCGCCAATTAAATGCCAATGCTGTAATTTGATTGGCTTTTATCTTATTAATAATAGCTTACATGTTGCATATACAAAGGTCTTGTTATAATGTTTCTAGATTGTTTTTTTAGAGTGTGGTACATTTTTTTTTGTATTAGACTGCTTTAGGTAAACATCATATTGTAAAATAATCACCAAATCAAGCTACAGGCTGCAGTGTTAAGGGTTAAAAGTTGGGTTACTTTATGCATAATTACTTTAACATAGTTCACTGGTATTACATTACCTATGTATAGCCCCTCGACGTGGATTCCTGTACGTGGTGAGGGGACCTCCCAGGGAAGGTTCTGTATTTTCAGTTACTTTC